AGCCTCTCAGGGGGGTCCTCCCCACAGTTCAGTGTCATCCTAGAGGCCAACAGTGGCTGGTGGAAACGTGCCTTCATTCCCCTCCATCCATCCCATGACTGAACTGCCACTTGGGGAATTTTTCTTTCCCTACCCCGCCTTAGATCCCTGGGTTACTTTCTTGCTGGTAAGTGGTACCTATTGAGGGAAACTCATAAAACTCTAAATCGGCTGTTGAGATGCAGCAGCTCCACTAGGTGCTAGGTGTTTGCAGTGCACATCCTCACGGCAGGGCTGACAAGCTGAGGCTCAAAGAGGCTGAGAAGGGTGCTCAAGGGACTGGGAGAGTAAGAGGTCCTGACTCCAGGCCTCTGCAGAACTGCTGGCATGTCTTTTGCTGTGGAGGTCCTTAAGAACCTGAGAGAACAGGACATGCCATGGAGCCCCTCTCTCTGGCATGAGATTCTTAAGAGACACTGAGCGTTCCTGGGCCACCTCTCCCGTCCTGGCACATGATTCAGAGCGCACAGCCTCCTCAGGCCCCAGGACCCCCCTTAAGGGCTCATGATGGTCCTATTCGCCAAATGTCCTTGGGCCTCTGCTCAACCGTCACTTCCTCCAGAAGCCATCCCGAACTTGATGCAGGTCACCTGCTGGACACTCCTGCCGCATCCTGCATTTCCTCATGACCCTCTGTGGACCCTGTGAGCTCTGACTGGTTCCCTACTGTGTCCCACCCCTCCAGGGAAGGCAGAGGAACATGCTCTGCTTCACAGAGTGCTGGGCACAGTCCCCTCCCTTTCTCTTCTCCCTCCCTCTAGGGGGGTTTCCTCTGACTGCTGGGCCCTCCAAGGACCCCGCTGCTCCCTAGTCTTCCCACCCCTGTATTCTGGTCTGGCTCTCACATGAGAAGGCCCTTCCATGGCCTGCTGATGTCAGACTAGGGAAGACTGACAGCTGGGTGTGTTGGAATGAGCTTTGTGACACACTTTCTTATTTCATGTCTTAAAAACTGATCAGTAATCATTTCTGATTACATCTTTTTTAAAAAAGTTAAGTGTTAATTGCTTTTCTGGGTAGAAAAGAAACATTTACCCATTGTGGAAAACTTGGAGAATACAGGGAAAAAACCCCACAAAACCCACTTGATAACCCTAAACCCAGAGGTAATCAAGCTGAGTGATATTGTATATTTCCATACATACATATGTGTTCACCTTTACAACCCATTTTGTTCCTCTTTTAAAAAAATTAAAAACCTCATTTAAAATATTTTAACTCTTAGGCTGATATTCTTATTTTCACCTTAGTGCTGACACTTGTTTTCCAAAGTAGGCATAAGAAAGCACCTGTTACCTCCTGACTAAAGTGCTCTTCCCCCCTTGCTTCTGAGGAGCCTGTGGCTTGCTGGAGACCACCCGGCACAAGCCCAGTCCCCACTTTCCACCTAAGTGAGCACTTGCTGACAGTGCCTTCCAGGGCCGCTTTGCTCCTGGGGAAGCAGAGTGTGTTGCGGGCTCTCCTCCACCTCTGTCCCCACACTCCGGGGCACTGAGTGAGGAAGGAAAGCGTCAGGTCAGGGACGTTAGGTGGAGCAGGCCCACCCTTGCCCACGGCTTTCTGGTGCTTGATGGCCCTGGCCCAGGACTGCCGCCCTGTCCTTATTCTGGGCCCTGAGGATAGGCAAGGGTCTTTAGGGCTGCCTGGGAGCTGAGAAATGACCAACGAACACCTCTCTGGGCCGGGCTGCCCTCGCCAGCCCCACAGGCCCCGTGACCTTGCTGGGGCTGACGTGGATGAAGGGACAGGAGGACAAAGAGCAGCAGCAGGAGGTCCTCTTTGCTCCCTGCCTTCACTCCACAGTCCCAACAAGAACAGTGGTTGGTGCCTGTGACTACCCCCCACCTAACCTGGCCTGTCCTCATAGGGAACTGCATGGTGGGTCCATGGGGTGCAGTGGGCACCAGTGTGGCACTCTTTAAGGCTGGCCACCTTGGGGACACACTGGGCCCATGTAGCCTGAACTCTGGCTGCCACCCAGGGACCACCTTTGGGCTAAGACGTCCATGTGTGTAACTCCGGGAAGGCAAACTCACAAGACAGGGCCAAATGATCCCACCCTTGGCCGGACAACAGAAACCTTCCTGTCTGCTTGTTCACACTGGCGTCAGTGGAGCTTAAGAGGTGCCCTCAAACCAGCGGAGGTATGTGTGGTGTGGGATCACTGGCCAGGGTCTCCCTGCCCTTCATCCTGGTATTGGCTCCATTTCTCATCCTGGCCTGGGCCGAGCTACTTACCAGGGTTGGGGCTGGTGGGCGAGTCAGATGTCAATAGGGACATCTTCCAAAGCAGCTGGCCTCCTGCTCCCCTCAGCAAGGAGGGGCTGGGCCAGGCGCTAGGTCCTGAGAGCATGAGAGACAGGACATCCCCCCTGCAGGGCTGTTCGAAGGCTGCTGGAATCAGGGTTGAGCATCTGCACAGATGGGCCAGCATGAGACCAGTGCTCATGGGAGACCCCACCCAAAAAGTGTCTACCATAGATGTTCCGGTGGATAGTGACCTAAATGCCACAAAATGCTGCAGCTTACAGCGCTCGTGACTGAGCTGTGTACAACACCACCTTCCTGGGGCAAGGCCTTCTCTCTCACCATCTGCCTTCCTGGTAGCCCATCTCAGTCCTGGGCACTTAGCAGGAACCATATCTGCTACACCCTCAGAAACTAGCATAGAGTCTGGCAGGGAGCGGTTGTCAATAAGCAGCTATGGAATGAATAAATGAACACATGGGTGAATGAAGGGATGAACGAGTGAAAGAAGGAACAGATGAACAAATAGGTGCAGGTTTGGTTGCTATTCAGGATCTTGGCACTGTGCCCAAGTTTCACGTGTGATGTTGTCTCACTGGCCTGTAGCCAGGGAACATGCTGGCTTGCCTATAAGCCCCCCTCCTTGGATGTCCCCAAGAGTCCCCTGAATGGTGCTGAGAGTTCTGCAGTCTGCCCCTTGTGCCATTCTGGTACTCCTCCCCCCTGGTGGGGTGGCTCCCAGAGCAAGAGCAGCTGGGCCCATTTGCCTGAGCAACCCAAATTGGAAAAGGGCAAATGTCCCTCCAGGAGTCCTGGGGTGGGGGCAGACAGACTCTGAGAGCTCATGGCATCATTACTCCCCCTGCCAGCCCTCCATGTTGGGTTTCACAGACAGAATGACTGAGCGACATCAGGCCAGCGTCTGGCCGAGGTGTGGGGCAGCAATGAAGAGGTGGGCTCAGTGGTCAGGACGTGAATTTGGGTCAGCTCTGCCCATGCCAAATGAGTGTGAAACAGGCAAGTGACATCGCCTCTCTGAGCCTTGCTTTCCACATGTGTAAGACGGGGACAGTCTGAACAGCTACTGGGTAGGACTGCAAAGGATTCAGTGAGTCCAGGCACGTAAAGCACCAAGACAGTGCCTGGCACACATGCAATGCTCAACAAGGACCACTAATCATCAGACAGTACCTCTACCCTGTGAGGAGCTGCTAGGCAGGATCCACCTCTTCTCTGATCATTTTACGATTATGGTGACTGAGAAGACAGGTGTGTATGTGTGTGAGCGTGTGTGCATGCACATGTGTGAGTGTATGTGTTGTGAGAGTGTATGTACATGCATTCATGTGTATGTGCATGTGTGTGTACATGTCCACATAAGTATGAAGGCGTATGTGAGTGCACCTGTGAGAGTGCGCATGTGTATGTGTAAAACTGTACATGCATAAGTGTGAGAGTGTTGAGTGTTTAGTGTGTGCATATGTACATGTGAGTGTGTTATTGTGTATGTGCATGTGTACATGTGGGTGCATGTAACTGTGAGGGAGTATGCATGTGTGTGTGTGAGAGTGTATAAACAAGTGTGTACATGATAGTTTGTAACTGCGTGTACATGTGTGCATGTAAGAGAGTAACTGTGAGTATGCATGTGTGTGAGTGCATAAACAAGTGTGTACATGATAGTGTGTAACTGTGTGTACATGTGTGCATGTAAGAGAGTGTGAGTATGCATGTGTGTGTGTGAGAGTGTATAAACAAGTGTGTACATGATAGTGTGTAACTGCGAGTACATGTGTGCATGTAAGAGAGTAACTGTGAGTATGCATGTGTGTTTAACTTAGTGCATGTGTATGTGAGAGCGTGCGTAACTGAGTGTGTGTACCACGAGAGTGTATGTAACTGTGAGTGTGTATGTGTGTGTATGTGTGACTGTGTGTGTACACATGTTTGCATGTACAGGCCCCTGGACGCTGGTGGAGGGCCACCCTGAAGGACAGTGCAAACCTGCCTTTCCCGAACATTCTGTGTGCCTGGATTTCCCCTGCCTCCCCTAGGATCTTGAGTCATCACGATGCCTGTCATCTCTGGCAGCCAGGGCTGTGGGAGCACCCCATTCATGACATTCCCTGTCTTCGTAGAGCCCACTGGCACATGAAAGCATCAGTACGTGGAGTACGTGTGATGGGTAGGTCCTGAGTGGGAGGCCTCATGCCCACGGCAGACAGGCTCACTGCAGGGAGGCAAATCCTGGGCTGAGGGGTCCATAAGGGTGTGTGGCAGCTGTAGCTCTTCCCTGGCAGTGTCTAGCAGGGTGGTGGTCAATGGACGCCCAAGGCCTGAGATCATGTGGGTGCAACACTCTCGGGCCCCACCAGGCGGAGCCACACGCCCATCTCAAGACTGGGCCAAGTCTCTGGCTTCCAATTTCACCCAGGCCTCCTCTTGCAGCTTAGCTGGAGGGAGAGCACTCCTGGGCTGGCTCCAGACCAGATGAGGAGTGGGCTGCTCAGAGCACGGGGGCTAGCACCCCCCACACCCATCCTGCTCTTCCACCCTCCCTCCTGGTTGGCCCTGCACCGGCCACAGAGCAGCCTGACTGAGGCCAAGTTATTGGGGTGGGTGGGGCAGGGCCATGCCTACCCAGAGCCTGACTTCAGCTCCCTAGGCCCTGAGCACCTCCCCTGGGAGGGAGGCTGCGCTGAGGCCACACTCACCTTTCCAGCCCTGAAGACATCTCTTCACTAAACTCTGAGCTCTCACTACTGCCTGGAAAAGGAACACAGATCAATGAGCACGGTGGTCTCACAGAAGAGGGGCCTGTTCTCTTGGGTCACCATGTCCAGGCCCCTAAGCTCACAGAAGTGCCAGAGAAATAGCTTCTTGACTCTGTGGGTGTCAATGTGAGTCGACGTTTTGCTGTTGCTCTTTCTGACTCTGGGAGGGTCAAGAGAACCACCCCATCCCACCGTTCCCTGGCGGGGCCACCACTCCCTTCCCGCTATCCCCAAGGGCTACAGCTGCTTGCCCACTGGCCTACTGGGATCTGGGTCCTCAGGCCTTTGTTGGACCTGGATGGGCCCCCCACAGCCTCCCTTCTGGCCCAAGTGAAGCCAAGGCTAGAACAGGCCTCACCTGTTGGGGAAGGATACCAAACGAGCACTTTTTACCCCAAGGCTCACAGCTTGACTACTCACTGGTCACAGAGCAGCTGCCAGCCTTCGACAGACACCTTAAGGGAGGGCCCCTTCAGACCCCTAGCCAGGGGATTCAGGGGCTGCGCCCCACTGCTTTGCCCTCTCTTCCTCCCTCAGGCCTGCCCCTCCCCCAAAGCCACTCCAAGGAGAGATTTTCTCCTGTCATTGGAGCATCAGGTGCGATGCTTCATACCCTCCCCCAGAGCTTGCAGGCTCTGAGCTTCAGTGTTGCTTGCCAGCAAGAGCACTAAGTCCCCTTGGAATTGGCCTGAGAAAGGCCCTCGTTACAGGGTGGGGAGGACCAGTCTGGCTGCAAACAGGGCACGTGTGCACATAGCCACTTACTCTGGGCTTTTAGCCCCAAATGGATGGACACTCTGAGACCCTGACTAGAGGGCCGGACCAAGCAGCCTTGTGACTTCCCACCTGGACACTGGACAGCACTGCATCTGACTCGGTTTTCTGCTTCGGAACAGCGAGGCCTGGACACAGGCACAGCTCAGAAAGTTTCCTGGATGTCACACAGCTGCTCTGCTGCCCAGCTGAGTGCTCTTGGGCCAGCACTTCCCAGAGGACATCCTTAGAACCCAGGTCCTGTTGGACACTCCAAGGGAAAAGGTTCCATGACCAAAGAACGTGGGAACCTGCAGACTCTGATGCCTTCTTGGGGGATTCATAACCACCCATCTGCATATCGAAGTCTCAGAAGAAACCTGCTCACCTTGTTTAACCCAGCCTTCCCCCAACATCCGGAACCCAGACCTCTTCTTCCAAGGCACACCTATGAGCCATGATGTGCTGTCCTAAGCTGTTGTATAGCCCTGACTGGGTCCAAGCAGGATGGATGGCCTCTTCTGGGGACAGAGGCAGACAGGAACTTGCTTGTCATAGACTTCTGGGGTGGGAGGCAGCTGCCCTCCTGGACACGGACTCTGAGACTGGTCTAATGTCATGGGGACGTGTGATGTGAGATTCCAGTCTGTTATTCCTATTTCCCGCCTCCCCCTCCCCACTCCCCCATGCTCCTGGGCCCTCTGCCCTATAATCCTCACCACATCAGACTCCCAGCTTAGCAACTGCCTACCCCACCACCAACCCTGGGAGGACTCCCTGTTATGGTAAGTGAACACAGATACACAGACCACAGAAGCACAGACACACTGAAAGGCAACAGCCACTAGAGTGCCCTGGGATGACAGCAGTAATGATAGGGTGGTGCCCACCTGCCCTTAGCTGATCTGTGCACTGCAGACGACAGATCTGTGACCAGAGGTCAACATTAGCCTCAGCCCTAACATCAACTACCCCCCCATCCAGCCTCAGCAGCACAGTTTCTGTCCCTTCTATTGACATAAGCACCATTTCTGGCTGATGCTCAGTTGAGCAATTTCACTCCTGAAGACCAATTTTTCATCCTCCCTACTTCTTGTTTCTCAGTGTGAAGAGAAGGACACAAGTGAGAGCCTGGTGGCCCACCCAGCTGCCATCCCCAGGCAACTTTCTGGGCTTTGCTCTGCAGGGCCCTGGGTCTTGTGGCTCCCCCAGGGACAGAAGCCCTACTATGGCAGCAGCTTGGCTGTGGAAGTTGTCAACCACTGACAGCTGGTCTCAAGCACATGTTCAGCGGTTTCTCCCACCTTCCTGCCACACTTGGAGGCTACCAACAGGATGAGGACAAAGCAGGCTCTTCATAAAGCCCGTGGAGCTGGGAAATGAAGGCTTCCCTGGCTCTGGGCAAATCCTGCAGGGAGCCACCTCTGCAGGAGGGTGAGGGGTGAGTGACAGTGCAACTGGGCATGGCATAGTGACACAAAGACAGACAGGGATCACACACTGGGCCTGTGGCCCCCCCGCCTGTCTGTGTAGGCCAGAGACGCTTACCTAGGGAGAGTCCGTTGGTGACAGCACAGGAGGAGGTGAGGGTGAGACCCCTGCGGGGACTGCGGGACTCTAGGACACTGTCGTCCAGGAGATGCCTCGCTTTCTCCGATGGGAATGTTGCACTCTTACTCTCAACTACACTCAACTGACACATCATACTGGAAATGGAAAGGAAGAAAGAAGGCAAAGCTCCATATCTACGGAGTAGCAGCACTTAACACCTGCCCCGGGGTCCTGAGCAGACGGCGCGGCTTCAGGAGAAAGGCCTCCACCCAGAGCCATGGCATAGTCCAGGCTCTGCCTCTCTCATGGCATGACCTTGAGCAAGTCACATCCTTCTTCTGAGCCTCAGTTTCTCTATCTGTCAAGTGGGGACTAACAAGACTAGCCCTGCCTATCTCCCATGATGATCACGAGGCTCAGGTGGGCAGACAGTGTGTGTGAGTGATGAGGCTGCACAAACGAGAGGCAATGGGCCATGGCCAGCATGTCTGCTTCCGGAGTGACACACACCTGGGCCAGATCCTTGCTCCAACACTTCCTCACCATTGCAAGGGACTTCATCTTGTTGAATCTCGTTGGACTCATTCTTAAAAGGTGTATAATAATAGCACTTCCCTCAGAGGCCTGCATGGGGACTCAATGAGATAATGCTTGACAGGCATGTGGCAGAGTACCTAGCACAGAGGAGGCACTGAACACTCAGAGAGCAACTCTCTTCTCCAGCCTGTGAGCTCCTCCAGGGCCAGCCTGGGCTGGGCTGAGGCTTGTGCCTTAGTAGTGGAAGGAAGGAAACAAGCAAGGAAGGAAGAAAGGAAGAGAGGGAGGAGGAAATATGGGAAGAAGGAAGGAAGGAAAAGAGGAAGAAAGGAAAAAAGGAAGAAAGGAAGGAGGGAGGGAGGAAAGGAAGGAGGGAGGAAAGGAGGGAGGAAGGAAAGATGGGAGGAGGAAAGATGGGAAGGAGGAGGAAGGTAGGAAGGGAAGGAAGGAGAGAGGGATAGATGGACTCATCTATTCAGGAGCATGTGCCCAACACCTGGGGAAAGGGCCATGGCTGCCCCCAGCCTTGCTGAGGAGCCATGCATGTCCCCTAGCCATGAGCCCCACAGGGCTGGGGAGCCAACAGGTTCACTGCTCTGCAGGCTGACTCCATGAGACACCTGACACTGCCCTGGATGACAGTCAATGGTGTCCACCGGACTCTAGGATTCTCTGTGAGTCACTAACTGATCTTTAGCAAATTTTCTGGAATCCACTGTTGCTTCCCTGATCTTCCCTACATCCTTCCTCCATTAGCTACTGAGCCTGTGACACTGTCACAGTCAGTGGCATGTGGACTATGCTGCTGCAGCCACCCCTCAGCTCTTCTGAGCCCCGGCCAGCCTATGCAGAGCAGGGCAGCCTCTGGAGAGCGCACCAGCCAAGAGGTACCATCAGTAACTCCCAGAACGGGCGGTCGGGGAAGGGACTGACTGGCTGGCAAGTAATTCCCAGCATTCTTTTGCCCACACCCCATGCGTGGCCCAGTCTGAAGCCCTGGGGGAGGGCTTGCTCAGTCACCCACTTGTTGCCCAGGCTGTGGCTTTTCCTGTGTCTGGGGACTGGAGGTGTGGGGAGGCTGCCAGCAACAGATGCATCAGGACAGGTGGGTCTCCGGCTGAACCTTGTAGAACTGGAGCCAGCAGAGGGGCCTGTGAACAGAGCAGAGAGAGCACGATGAGGGGGTTATGGTGGTGGGGGTGGGGGCTGTGAAGGCTGGGTCAAGGTTTGCGGGAAGCCACCTGTCCCGGCTGTCACAGGTGGAGCAGGTTCATACAAGCCCCCCCACCCCCTGTAGCTTCCTGTTCATTAGATACTGACTCCTCCCTCCCAACATAATTAACTCCCAAGGCTGAAAACCAACTGTCAGGACAGCCAGTGTCCTGCTATGCACAGTGCCCTTTGACTGGGTAGCCCCACTGGCTAATACAGAGCCGAAGGAAGAGTGCCATGTGTGGACGTGGGGATCAGCAATCTGGCCCCATTTCCCCAAGGCATGACTTCTATGAGGCCACCCAGCTGGTGAGTGACAAAGTTGAGACTTTAATGTATGTCCTCTGACTCCAAGCCCATGCCCTAACCCCTGAGCCCTTATACAGCCACTTTCTGTTCTCTACCCACTTATTCAGCAAAAAGGGACTCAGCACAGCAGGACAGACAAGGTTCAGACCCCAGGTCTGGGATCTATCTGGGGGACCTTGGACAGGTTACTTAATTTACTCCTCGAGCCTCTCATCTTGAGTTTCCTCATCTGAAAAATGGGAAAGATTCGATTCGCCTTGCAGGTGGTTGGGGGGGGGGTTGGTGAGGTAGCTTACGTAGACTTTCCAGTTAGCACTCATACTTATTTTATTATGGTAACTATTACCATGTCCTTCTCAATCCAGTTACGGGACCAAAAGGAGGTCATCAGAGTTGAGGAGTTGGGAGTCACAAACCCCAATGAGCACAATACGCAGAGGCTGAGGCAGAACCCTTCATGCTGGCCACGTCCTCAGCTATGTTTTGAGGAATGCAGCCCTGACCACTTTTGCACGCTTTAGTTTTTGTGTCTTGGGAAGGGAGGTCTTTGAGGAAGGTGACCCCAGATGCTAGCCTTGTCCTAGCTATCAGGGCCAGACACTGGTGGCGGGGGCCAGGGCTTTCCCAGAGGGGCTTTGCCAGTGTCTGCAGAACACATGAAAAGCAGAGCAAATCAAGGGGCTGCTGCCTGGCCATGCTGGGGAACTTTCCCTGGGATCTGTAAAGCCCGAGGCCCAGCCAGAGACCCATATCTCCACCACAAGATCCTACAGGTACACAAGTGGCATAAGGGTCTCCATGTCCTCCAGCCTGCTTGTGTCATACTTATTTTAACATCCAAAATAGTGGCCCCCATTCTCAGCCTGTAGACTGTGGGCAGTCTACCCTGCTCCTGGCATTTCAGAAGACTCACGAGGCAGATAGCTTACACTGTCTCTGGTTCTGAATTCTGCTGCTGGCTGAGATCTCACTTCTCGCTAGTTGTTTCACCTCCCCTTCTCTCTCCACACCCCACTGGGCACAGCACCTTCTCCTTCGTCTTCCAGGGTCCCACCGCCAATCCCTTTATTAGGCTTTGGCCAGCTTTTTCATTGTTCCCAACAACTGTTCCTGAACATCACCTCTCTCCTTAGCCCCCTGCCCAACCCCTAACTCCCCGCCCTTTCAAACAACACCACTCTCTACTTCAGGGAGAAAACTGGTTGTCAGA